ATGTGGCGGTAAGTTGATGTAAGATCTGAGATCATAATAGAAGCCATTTTTATTCACTTTTTAATTTTTTTGAGCACCGATACATCAAAGAAAGTTCTCGAACTGATAACTTTTTTGCAGTCTATAGCCGGAAATATCGTTACCGCATCGCCGATCTCCGATCTTAATCCGATATGGATGGCATCAGGAGCTAGGGTAAGTGAATACTTAGACAACAATTGAAATGAGGTACAAGAGAGATGTACTAGAAAGTAGGAAAAGATGATTTAGAAAAGTAAAAGTACAACTACCAAGTGTTATTCAGGTGGAAAAAAATTAGGTAAAAATAAAGAAAGCTTGCTAAACCTTAGATACTTTAATGACTTTTTCCGATAAATATCAGCAGAAAGCACTATAAAGGTTAGAATTTTACTCAGTTTAGAAGTCTATAAAATTTAGCAAGTCCGTTTTTATGAAAAATACTAGGCAAAAAATTGCTTTGAGTCAAGAAGAATTCTTGAAAATTTTTAGTCAGAAATATTCTCAAATCTGTCAAATAATATTGCATACTTACTTTCAGGTTGTTCTCGAATCTGAAGAACGGGGTGTTCGGAGACCAGTGATCGATCAAAACTTCTTTCACAGCTACAGAAAAGCAGCTGTGATGCCGGATGAAATCGTTACGGCAGTCGTTATCCCCCTTACCAAGCAGGTCCGACTCACAATTTAATAATTTTTGATTCAAAGTAAATATCATTGCAGAATCAAGTCTTTCGCGTTTATAAACAAGCCCAGCGTCGTGAGGATGACATCGCTATTGTAACGGGAGCTTTCAATGCTCTAGTGAATCCGGAAACGTTTGTTTTAGAAGATATAAAGATTTCCTATGGTGGTATGGCTCCTACAACGAAGTTGGCGCTAAATACTATGAGTACCCTGAAGGGAAAGTGAGTTGATTTGAATCGATTTGATAATATAGCAAAACCATAAACTTAGATGTGCGTCCTTGCTGGAAAGTGAATTAGATCTGCAGGTTGTTTTTCAGAACTTTTGTTGAACTCCTTCGCTGAAACCTCAAGTTCAGAAAAATTGAAAGTTCAAAAATTCCTCAAGAATCCATTCTTCTTAACATGTTTAGAATGTTTTCC